CATTGAGTCCTTTACATACCGCAACTGGTATAACCAACAACATGAAATGTGAGTGTACCATGCATCCCGCGGGTACACTCCTAAATCGTTCAAAAAATCTTTCAGAATGATGAGAGGAGGACTTAGGCGGGTTGGTTCAAAAACACATGCTTTGAAGCAAATCACACGTATACACAGATGTTTGCCTTTAGCTTTGGATACAATCTTTTGTGTGTACTCCAAATGTACCCACTTCAAAAAGCTTCAAAAAAGGCTGATGAGCCCTACGCATCATCACAACATGTTGTTCTGTCATTAAAGTGACCTTGACCTTTTACCCCAACGCCTAGGAGTCAACTGCTCTTTCATTTCCCCATGGAAGCCACATCGAGCTTTCAACCAAAGAATGTCACTGGGATGACTACTGGTAAAATGATAGCCTGGACAAACAGAAGACAAGTTGAAGCTACATGTATCTTAGTGCTCAATACCCCTCTACTTTTCGAGGGTCACGTTACCAACCCCACCCCTAATTAAGGTGTTGTCCCGCACATACGTACATGTAAGGCCAGGGCTATACGCCATGCTGCTGCTGCCGCCGTGCCCAACTCAAATGATTCTTTTTTTTAAGTTCGGCACGGCAACTGCATGGTGTTTTATAGCTCGACAGGGTATGCCGCACTATCGTCTTTCAAAATGGAAGTGGCGCAACACTGCTCCATTTAAGTTCGCCATTAGGCACAACTGCCTTGCTATTGGCGTGCTATTGCCACACTAATTTGAATTAAGTTTGGCACGGCAGTAGCACGGCGTCTAGTCTTGGCCCAAGTTGGAATGCTCAACTAAGAAGCACCTCCAATCAACCATGCACTCCGCTGTCAATGTCTCTCACCATGTGCATGTAATTTATTGTTGTTATATTTAGGATGTGATGATGATGCAATCACGTGACTAGTCATGTGACATTACAGGTGCATCACTCAAATCCTTATATCTCCTAAAAGACAAGTCTGATTAGGTTGAAATTTTGCTGATAGCTTTAAAGGGAAGTTTTAAAGATAAGAACTTCAAATGACAAAAAAGTGTCGTGTTCTGTCCTTTGGACAGACATGACTCTAGTTGTCATTATATTTATTTGGTTGATGGCACTTAGGGCAAATTTTATGCCCTTTGTTCACCATGTAATATCTTTTGCAAATGATCATATTATCCAACACCAGATACACCATTACACTTACAGTAAATGGGCATCAGGGTAAATTTCAGGACAGTTTCAGCCTAATCACTTTTGACACTGCCTACACGTACATGTACAGTACCAGTAGGTGAAGACAGTAGTCTCAGTATCAGCACCTTGTACAAAGAATATGCTACTGAATACGCTACCATACTGGTTTGTGCATTAAGGATGAAGTTGGACATTTCAGGAGGCTTCCTGGCAAACAAACAAAGGAAAAAGGTCAATACTTTTGTTGTCCACAAACAAAACCTCTGCTACTGGTACAATAATATCTGCTCAGTCCTTTATCACTGTAGGGTCTAACAGAGGCTTGGCAGACAATTGATCAATCAATTGAGAAGGGGGGGATATGTATGCATGCCGGTGTTACACACAAGTAACAGGACTCAAGGAGTCAAGTCGGCAAGGTACATGTAGTTCTTTCCTCGCCTTCCACCTCTCCGGAATGGTTCCATTCCCGGCTCGGTCCACATGTGGATTGGGTTTTCAGTCCCTACCTGATTCTGTGGGTTTTACCTGGACTATTCCTCTGGGGTTTTCCTCCCACCTCTAAAACTGTAACTGCTTCTTATTTGTCTCCTCTTTACTGACATCAGTGAATCTGGGTCGTTTGGCAGCTGCCCAAGGCGCCATCTGCTCAACCATGTTTAAAAATATTCTTTTTTCCACGCTTAATGTCTTCATTGTACAGCACATTTGAACATATCTACATGAAATTCACACTTTATAAGTGAATAAATTAATATTGTAATTATTATTATTAACAGAGATGATGAGACTTTCCCAAAGAGAACTTCCAACCTGTTTTACTCCATCCTTGACACTGCCTCCTTTTAATAGAAACAACCGAAGATACTCCTGATCATGCATGTACCACTACTATACAGTGCTTGGTCTGTAGAGGAATGTTCATGCACCAGACTCAATGTGGGGCTTCTATGCTTCTTTCATTGATAACTGTGTAACACAAAGCTGTTTTATTGTCCTGAAAATATGTACATGAACGTGTAGGCCCTCACAAAGACTTCAGTGAGTACGAGTACATGTGTATTTGTGAACATGTGTGCGTGTTTTTTGCCTAATTGGAAGCATTGGGCAAATAAGGCCTTTCTTCCCCCTTTTGCCCTTGAAGAACAGTCCACAAACTCTACTGCTTATGTACTGATGGTCAACATGAAAGTTCAACTTAAACACTGTTAAAGCACCAGCATACAGGTACTGGTGCTGTTTGCACTGCAAACTGCTTGGAACACAGAGCATAAAATACACACACACACAAAAAAAACAAACACTTTTTCGCAGAACTGCAAAACTCTAGCGGGGCAGTGAGAAACATTAGGCATGCTAGCCCAAGACCCCTCATGGCAAAACCTCAATATAAACTACAATAACCCAATAAACATATGCAAATATTACATCAACACTAAAGTACATGAAACCTCCATTTGAAAGGGATGTGAAGGCCCACTGGCCTACATACATGTACATGTAGGAATGTTCACTGTGAGCTGTGGCACATGTAAGTGAACAAAAGACGGAAGAAGAAAGTCCAAACGGAACAAAGCATACACATGAACATACATGTACCGATATGTACATGTATCTATGTCAACCTGCTCTTATATGAGTACAAATTCTCATCAAACCAAACAGTGTGAAGTTCAGTTGGGGGCGGCGGTCACTGACAACAGTCGACCTGTGTCAATGCACTGGGACAACACCTTTGCAAAGCAAACAAGAACTTAAGAGTTTGTCCACTTTATCTCTCCAAAGCAGATTACCCAATTGACTTTGCATTTAATGCTGATAAGCTTAATGTCTGTAAACCAACCTGCATCAATTTGATTAAATGTACCAGGTAGCTTCAGGACTACTTGGCAGCTTGGTGTTTGTTGGTACAGGAATGTCAGGCAAACCTCTGTCCACATACCAGTTGAAAAGAGATTGCTGCTGCCGTGAAAACCTGCAGCCAGGCAAAAAGTTCTTTCCTGACAAACAACCCCTGTTGTGCTGCACTCTGATTGAAATAACTCCCAAGTTATTTCGCAAACGTTCTTCAGATGCAAAGACAGCATAGGTTTCTGTGGCAATTACAGTACCTTGACGATTGCTTCGAAAAATTGTTCAAAATTGCAGGGGTTGACCAATGGCCAGATGACCAGGACAAGAAGGTCGGGCATCTGGCAACCGCTTCCTGACAGTAGCCAAGTCCAACAGGCAACAATGTTTTCAAAGATCCGGCCCAAAGGGGACAGATTATACTGGTAATCACTTCTGTGAACGGACCAAAAGACAACTTAATAGGCCACTCACATGTTGCTAAATTTTGTCATCGCCCTAAAATGGAGGCTCAGTTGGTCCACCTTCATTGACCAAAATGCAATTTCCCCAAGACACTGAGACTGTGCAGATCTTGATCAATTTTCTGTTATGGGGTTGTGGGGCGGAACCTGCCAACCCAGCACAGTTTTTTCTGCTGTTGGCACAGTGCATTATACATGTATTTACCATGCTGATTCTTTGGAGTTTTTTATATACATGTACTGTATGTCCATGCACAAAATGACCATTAACAAGAAAAACCCCTTTGTTACACTCAACTGATACTTGACCAACATCCATATGCAATAAGATATGCTAAAGCGGGGTCTTTGCATGCACGACATGCTTTAAAAGATTCGTCATGGGACCCCCCTCCCCCACCCTGTGAGACAAGTCTGCCAAAAGAAGAACAGCATTTTTAGTGCCAATTAACAAATGGACTCAAATACAGGTTAAAAAATTACCTGACGAAATCCCAGCTCGATGTACCCTGATTTTTATGACGACAACCATAAAATGAATGTTGGGTAGTCGTGACTACGGGCACAGTATTTATCTTTTTTTTTCTTCCCCCAAAGGGTCCCAAATGCCATAATTTTTCTTTTTTGGGATATGACTACTGAATGCCAGGGAAGAACGTGAGGGAATTTTCAAGGCACATGCACCACGCTGTCCTCCGGAGTCAGAGGAGAAAAACACAGTTCAACAGCTTAAGACTGGGGGTAGCTTGGCGGGAACTTCTCAGAGGGAATTGTTGCCCAGTGTGCTATCTCATATTCCCTGCAGGAGTCCTACAGCAGTTCTGATGCTAACTGTCCTGGTGGAAAACCCTCCCAACCAACAGCGCACATAATTTATGGACCATTCGAAAATTGACCAACACAGCACGCATGGACGGCATTAAATGTTACTCGTTAGACACCTGTGGAGCACATTCAATGTAACATGTGCAAGCCCCACCAGGCCGTGCCAAATCCCATACGACTTCAACGTTCTGCTGAGCCCATCTACGTGTACATCAATTCATGCCGCCCAAAAGATCAGAACCGTGAATATTTATGCGTCATGAATGAACTCAAGGAGCGCATCCTGCTAAAGTGCACACTAGCAGATTTCCATCACATTCCCTGGCAACAGGAAACCTGTTACTCTCCCAACCGTGACAAATATTGCCAGGGGCCAGTTTCAAACAATGTGAGCAACATTCAAGTAAAACGTTTGGCTCAAGCAAACAAGCAAAGCTAACAGAATGCACCAGCAAGCCAATCTTACAACAAAAATGGATTTTTTTTGTACAGGATAACAACGCAATGAAGGACTTCATAAAAGAGAAAACAAATTTCTTGAAAGGAAATTCACCAGCTCTTCATTAAATTATCCATTTGCGTGAAAAAAGCTTGGAAGACTAACATTTCTTTGTAGTTGAGTGAAAGTGCATATTGCCAATAGGGAGGCCTACCTTTGAAGATGGGCGCAATGGACCAAGCCCCAATGCAGCCCTTGCTGGCAAACTGGCCGTGCCCAACTTCCATGATAAACAGTGGGAATCCAGCTAGGCACAACATCATCAGGTAAGGCACCAGGAATGCTCCTAAGGGGAAAAACACATTTTAACATGAGACTGGATATAATGTCTGTCAGATGTTGATGTTCCTGTCTAAGCCATGCAGTAAGGAAGTGTTTGCCAAGTTTGCCTTTTGTTTTCTGCTAGCTCTCACGCATCCTTGTTATCACTGTCCGAGTTTTAGTTGCTTCTCTAACATACTGTTATGCTTTCCTGTATTAGGGCACTAGACCGGCGCACATGCCATTTAACCTAAGGCACACCAACAACAATAATAAAAATGACTGTTTCTAATAAGATGTCTCCACTATCCAGTCCATTTCTTTACATTTCCCAAACGGAACCAGGTTTTACATAATTCAGGCTTTTCCCTAGTGCTCCCCATAGGTCACTTTATGTACTTAATCCCTACAGTATCGTATCAAATCAAGTTGTGACATGGAAAAATAAATCAAATTGCAAGCCTGGAGAAAGCAGGTATTTGAAATCAAAGGGCTTAAATCCACCACACTTTTCCATCTATTTGCTCATTTTTTACAAAGACATGTGTAGATACTGAGAGAGTCACTCGATGTGTCAATGCAGACGGAACATACATGTACACCAGTGCATAAAATTTTTTCCTTCAACTGTTTTTCTTTCATATCACCAAAGATACTAGTCCCAAGGACAATCTTCTTCTATGAGAGGCTACAAAAAAAACAATGACGTATCAGTCCAACGCACAGCAATAACAGCTGGGCTGTTCCTTCCTCATTTCCGCAATTCATCATTCAAGAAACAGGGGTTGATTTCGGAGGCTCTGGGAAGGTTAGGGCTCACAACAGAGAGCCAAACGTGCCATAGTACAAAAACAACATTTAGTATTTTTGGAAAACCAGAACACGAAACAGAACAGTGCATACCCCCTCCGTTTCGGTAGCAGAGGTACGGGAACCGCCAGACATTGCCTAGGCCCACCGCATAGCCAATCACTGACAGCATGAAGTCCATGCGGTTGGTCCAGTTGCCCCTAATCTTGTTCTCGTCCCCCTCTTGGCTGTCCTCCTCGGCAGGGCTTGGCGAGGCAGGCTTCAGCTCCTGGTGCTTCTTCTTGCAGAGCATCTAAACCAAGCAGCCAAAGGCAGGGAGAGAAAAAAAAGACCTCAAACAGTAAGAAACAAAAAGAAGTCCCCTCAGCATCAGGATTTAACACTCCACTAGTTGTCATTAAAATCTCTTTTGAAATACTCTGTGGGTATGGGCTAGTCCAAGATTTCAAGCAAGTGCTACACATTACAGAAGTTTCCTGTCCAACCAAGAACGCTCATGGATTTCAGCACTTTTCTTTCTGCATTTGGGGAATTTTGGATGGTGAATGCTCACAAGAAATTTTACATTACTGATCTTTGTGATGACTGAATAATTTTTTTTAAAAAGGAGTTAGGGTGGGAACCTTTTCGTGGACTTTCACATTTATACAGCACTCTAGTAAACCAACACACCAACCAAAACCAGAGGAACCCCTATTCCATGCTACCTGGGGACAAGACAAACTCAGAATCTATTTTTGACTTCCTCCCAAAAATAGGTACATGTACAGTATGCTGCGCTATCAGCAAGAACCCTTCATGAGGTGAACATTTTAGTTGAAATGTCAAACTGCAGGAAAGCCTCAAAACTGATAAAATATTTCAAAACTGAACTGCTTTTTTTTCTTTTGAAACAACCTGAGATATGTACCGTGCTACCAGTACAAGCTGACACACATTATGGCACATGTGAAACGGTTCTTAGACTGCATGTACACAATGTATATGGCATGTTCTTCATAAAATGGACCAAAATGCAACTCCAGATGTCATTTTTCAAAACTTCTAAAAGAGTGACTTTGATCATGTAAAATACAAATTAGCACCTTCAGATTTATAAAATGATTATTTGGGGATAATTAGGCATAATATGTACTTATGGTGGACATTTGGTTGGCTACCAGTGCAAATCAAACGGAGTTGAATTCATTTAAAGTTTTACGTCAAAGTGTTTACACCAGAGGACTTGATTTCAAAACTTCTCTCAACAAGAAGGAGAATTCAGTATATTTTTTGACTGATGCATTTTAAAGCACCTAAGAAATAACTGTTAAAAAATATAAGCCACGAAAAAAGAGCACAAAATTGACGGAAAATGATGAGAAAAGTTTGGCTCTCTTCATTCTCTTACCGTTTATAATCACTCTCATTTTACTAACATAGTTGCCAGGTCTTATATCATTCGACCACCAAAAATTATCTTTAAGTTTGGCTGCATCAAAAATTTATAATGAGTACAATATTTTCGTTGCAAACATCATATTTGACAGAATTTTGATGACGTTCGAGAATTTTGACAGAAATTGCACGATGTTCGAGAATGCCAAAAATGCTGTCATATGTAGTGCTCGAAAATTCTACGCGTGATTTTCATTTTGTCGGTTATTTTGGAGATAACTCTGGTGAAAATAAAATTAAAATTAACAACTCTGAGCTTTAGATTATCATCATGAATCGTATTTAATGTCTTGAACGTCATTTTTTGGCGAGCGTCATTCAGAATGACGGATTTTCTTTTGAGAAATTGTTCTGAAGAGAAAAATCGCGGAGTGTCGCCATTCTGTGGAAGGGCTCATGAATATTGAATAAAAATGAGAGCATACTATCTGGGTTGATATCAAAGGTCAAACAGGTCACAATGCAGCAATCTTTTTTTCTAACATCACCGCGAGAGATTGATGGAAGCCGCACGATCGGTATTTTGGACTGTGGTTTTCAGGAACGTACTTGAAGAAAATGTAATCAGTCCAGTTGTAAAAGGATGATGGTTTGGCGGTGCTTTTTTGCACTATTCTTTAAAGCTTGTGTTGTACATGTACATCAATATATGTATTTTACTCGGTTTTTTTGCAGTCAATTTGGACACTAATGACAGAATTGAACAATGTTCGTGACTGCCGACTTGGGACCCGATTAATTGTGAGAGGTACAGTACTTTTAATATTGTGATTATGGTTTTAATATGTGTAAATATTATCACCTTTCACCACATCTGTGTAAAATAACCTGCAGGATTATCACTCCTCAGTAAACTCTGTTGACTCGCAGTTTAACAGGGAGTTCATGTCCCTCAAAAATGCTGACGTTCGAGACTCTAATTAATTAACTCCAATTAAGTTGAAAGGTTGACACAGTCATCACTGTTCCAGATATCAGCCATGACTTCCCTAATTACATCAAACATTGGAAATTACATGTACCGGTAGTTCACTGCTGTTCACTCCAGGAAAAATGAACCCCTAAAGTTTAGCATTATCTAATGGTCCACATGGAGAATAACAAATGTTAAAACCATTTCCTCAAGCCTAGCACTCTTACCACATCAAACATTTTTGCAGATGCCATCTCATATTGTAAGTAATTTACGACACAGCAACATACTACTACCTGCAGAAAGCAACATACTGTATGTGTACATGGCAAGACTTTCCCTGGTGAATTCATGACCATATATGACCATAAAACATGTCGGTTTGTGTAAGCAAGGTCAATAAGGGTTGTGTAATTCAAAAAGAGGGGGTTCCAAAGCTACAGACAAAGAACTCTTCCAGTTGGAAATGCTTTTCCAGACTCGGAGTCATCGTCTTTTTTATGAAATTGATGCAAATCTGAGAGATTCAGGTTTTGCTTGCCCGAAATGCAGATATGGAGCTGTGAAATGAGGATGCTGGAGGCTGTTTTTTTACTTTCATGTACTATCTATCTGTCCGTATTCAAACCAGCTTTGCCCGTGATCAGTAACAGCATTGTGCTCTAGGCCTATGCACAGCACGACAAAGAACACATGAAGCCAGGAGACAACCACAGCTAACATTCATAAATTATGAGCAGGGAGAGCATGTCGGGGAACAAAATGAACATGAGATCGGAATGATATGAGTATATTTCATAAAGTACACGCATATTTGAACAACGTCAGTTGTATTCACTACCCATACAATCTGGCAGGGCAATGTACACGTACATTACTGGTATCACAATATTCAACATTTGATAGCATTATCATTTGTATCACTACCACACAGGGCACTGACACAATGTAGTGCAATGTATAAATGGCAAAGTGCCAACTACGCTGGTCATGCAAGCCACCTACATAAAGGGTGCAGAACACTAAATTGAAGAGATCATTTTTGCCAAGCTCATAAGTACATCTATGAATTGCCAAGCTGTAAAAATTTGCGGTTGGCTTATGTACAAACAGGCCAGGATAAACTCTCTGGAGGGGGGGGGATTCCATCTGATGGCACAGTTGATAAAATTACAGAGAAAAAGTGGTCCTATTAAAAGTGCCCAGAGAAGCAGGGTTGCCATTTGGAAAATGGCTGCGTGCAGCCCTAGCCCTGGGAACGATCACTCTTCGGGGGTTGGGTTTGTTTTGTGTATTAAGTAAACAGGTAATTTGCTAACCCACCGAAAATTCACAAGAAATGGAAAGATGAAAAACAAGACAATAATTTAAGGTTTGTTTGAGAAACCCAAGCAATTACCAGCTTCCATGTTATCGAGCCCTGAACTTTGCTGATTTTTTGTTTTCAATGAGGCTTGAATTACATGTAGTGTGCTGCTCTCTAACTTCAGAATGTTTTTCTCTTTGTGGCAAATCACCCACTTGAAACAGGAGTGTTAGTCTGAGGACGGAGAGTATACATGTATATTGCAATTGAAAGTTCACACTGAATGGAAAATTCTGTGAAAAGAGTTCACTTTCACATTCATATACCTTTCACAGGGCATGTAAAAATATTCCCATTTGTGTGAAGAGGCATGAAAATGTTCGTTTTCCCACTTGTGGGCAAATGTGTGAAATTCTTTACCCACTTAAGGGAAACTGTGTGAAAATGTTTTCCCACAGTGGGAAAATCTGTGAAACTATTTTCCCACTTGTGTAAAAAAAAAATCTATGACAATTCTTTTCACATGTGTGGGAAAATCTCTTAAAATTTTTTGGCACTTGAGTGGAAATCTGTGAAAATAATCTCTTCCAACTGTGGGAAACGTTGCTCACTATTTCTGTAAAATAAGAATGAATTCCCTGGGAAGAGAAACAAATGTGAAGGGTATGTCGTACTCCTAGATGCAGTTAAATGTCAACTGCAGAGTATCCTCCCCCTCCTTTTAGCCTGTGGAAGTGGGGGGGATTCAGAAGAGATGGCCGTATCATTTGGCACATATCATTCCATTTGAAACCAACAAAAATATTCAAGGCCCTAAACCAAATTACATGGAGTCAAGCGGGGAAGCAAAGTATGGTACTTTAAATACGGAATAGGGTTAAGATTTCAGAGCAAATCAGAGGCAAAGAGAAACAAAACTGGGATCATGAATGTGGTACAACATGAAAACACATTTGTTGGAACTGCACAGGCGGAAAGAGTTCTAGAAGACTTTAACCTACACTCTGAAAGAATATTTTTTTTAACCATGATGAAGTTGAACGAGCCCTAGCTATGTTGAGTGTAATTTTGGAAAGAGTGCACATTGTGCATTTGAACACACAATTTTTGAATTTTGCACAGCCATTTACAAGTATTCAAACCAAAATAATGCATATTAATGATACCTGCACCATGGTGCCTTTTATCATGAACCTCAATGGTAAGAAACCCTCATGAGTGGCACATTTGACATGAATTTTATTTCCGAGTTGGGGAGGGGGACGGTCATCATGCTCACGCTCATGTATACAACACGACATGCATGATGTCGGCTGCCCCCCCCCCCGAACTGTGGGGGTTCATTGTCCACCACACTCTGACCACAGATGACAAGTTACACAGCTCTAGGGGTATTATGTCAGATGTTTCAAGAACTAGTCCACTGAACCATTCCCATCTAGTAATTAAAGGAAGGGGGAGCTGATGCTGGGGGCTTATGAATTGACAGCTATTCTCTCTATAATGGCTCCATACTAAGACATAGGCCAATAAGGTCTGCTCTTTTGACGTTACAGTCGTGTTTCCCTATGTAGCTGCTAAAACTATGGCTGGCGAAACAAAAGTACTGTACATGTAAAAGACGAATTCACTGTGTTAAAAAATTCCACACAGCTATCAGAACACCAGATAATAACACACATATGTGTACTACTGAATACTAAATGAAACTACAACCCTTGGCAAATTATCTGGATAAATGTCAATTTGGAACAAATTTCGGGTTAACTTGACAACCAAACAAAAGCTGATATTTCTGCAAACTTTGGCTGCCCAATGTAAGCTACATTAGAGTGGTCTATACAATATTTTAAGCCCACAGCAACATGGTTTTAATGGCAAAAACAGTGAATGGAGTGGGCGGCCCATTAATTTTTTTAGACGAATGGCCTCCTCTTTTTAAAGTTAGGAATGTGAGTACATGCACATCATAACCTACATGTAAATTCTAGGAAATTCCATACAGACACCGCTTGACAGTGTCAGTGAATGAAAAAAACCTGTAGAGACTGGTCTGAAAAATTCAGTTCTAGTTACCTGGTTCAAGCATGCTTCCATGCATGTCCTAAAAGTGAAATTTAGCTAAGAAAATCCCGAAGCATCTACTTGGAAAACACCTAGGTTTTTTCAGACAAGTCTCATAGGTTTGTGCACAGGGCCTCAAGTGGAACTCTTTCCAATTGACTTCTCTTAAATACTACTAAGGCGTCTTAATACTCTTTTAAGAAATTCCATTGCTTCCAAAATGGCTTTTGACTCGAGCCTACAGCACACTGCAGTGGCCGGCGTCCACATGCCTGCCGGGCAAAACTCTTTCCAAAATAAACACTTACGTTGAATTCACGTCCACTGACTCCCGGTTTCCAAAAGATGGAAAAATCCTTTGAGCTGCTGGGACTGTGCCGGTTGACCAAAAAAAGACAAAATTTGTTGACATCTACACGTTGCAAAGGCGGCCTCACGACTCCCGACTGGCCAACTGCCTAGCTACAGAAACCTACGGCTCCTCGTGAAGGTGAGAGAGAGTGAGTGCCGTGTTACCGCTAACGCTGCTCGGAACCCTTTCTGCGTGCGGCTTACATAAAGCACGCAATTATATATCAGCACGTGGGCTGTCGGTGCTGACGGCGCATGCGTAGTCTTGGCCCAAGACGTCAGTGATCGGCGGCGTTTTCGTTTGCGTTAACCGTACCCGTATAGTGTGCGCGTAGTCTATGTTTGTTTATAACGCCCCTCGTCCTGGTTCTTTATCCTGGTTGGCTGAAATACGGTCATGTGTGGTTCACTAATATGACATTGATCTCCATAATAATGAAGATTAGTAAATACAGACTAGGACATGAATTTGGCGTCAGCGTGACTCCACACGCGCCTAGACATTGCGCGCGCGCGTCAATTCCAGAAGCTAGTGCCCGGTCACGTACTAGTCTTGGCATTTTTTGACTGGTTATAATTACGCCCTTTGAAACAAGTTGAAAACCTGGACGAAAAAAAAATAATAAAATGAACCTTGAAGTGAAATAGGAAATAGGACTCTCTTCTGGTCACTCACAGTCCCTAGGGGACATAGACGTGCACTAGTGACCTCATTGCCCGTCCATTATGTGCTAAATAGGGCTGTTTTAGATCTTCCAACAAAGGCTAGGCCGCGCCGGTTTCCCATATGTGATAGTGGGTCGCGCTCGCGGGAGTATGTTGCTAATGTTATGAAAGTGCTTGATCACCACGCGGTTGGGGGGCGTATGTTTACAACAAGGCTTCGTATAAAAAATCTTGATTAGGCTAAAACGCGAGGGTTGGCTCGCTAGCGCTTGCCATTGCAATTATTGATGCCACAAATGAATTTGATTTACAATGGCAAGCGAGTCTTTGTGCTACCTTCGTATCCGGCACGGTGTTAACATGACCCTTGATGGCGTCAGTAGGCCTAACCATTGTGTGTTGGTAATAATACAGTCTAAAAACTTGATTAAATGTCACTAGTGCACTGCAGGGTGGGTAACAGAGTAAAAACCACCAAGAAATTTTCCAACTAAAATAAACAGGAGTTGCCTGATGAAAGTGGATTTTTTCTATGTGAACTCCGTGGTTTACAACAGTCGCGCGACAATAATTCAGGAGAGAGATAAAGAAAAATTTTGACCACCGGCTTGTCCGACTGAAACGGCACTGCGAGCACGCACTGGTCTAGTTATAGAGCACGTTTTTGAGCAGTAGTGTCTTTGGCAAAGACTAGAAATACGTAATAAAGTAACTCAAAGCAAAAGCCTCTTGCGTTGTCACGCGTCCTTTCTCCTCGTGAGCTAATAGAGTACCGAAGTGAACACGTCACACGTACAATTAGTGCGTAAAAGGCATTAGCACTAGCGTGAACCAACACGCGCGCGTACTCCATTCGTTTGCACTACACTTTCTGGTTCACAGTGACGTCACACTTCGGTACTCTATTCCTTCAGAATGTGCGCCTTCGGCCGCCCAGATTTACGGCAAATGCAATGGCACACAATGCGTTGTATTCTTTGCTCTTGTCACCTAGCAGCCAGACGTAGGCGCTGGTCGCGTATTTTTTTCCTAGAAGGGTTAGGGGTAATTAAAATGGACGTGACTAAACCGCTGCGCATGCGTTTCGTAGGAAGGTTGGGGGGGGGGTAATTATCATGGTAGGCATACACAAACTTATAACAAAATTTGATTTTCTAGCTGACTTGCATGGTAGCTCTGTTAGACGAGCGTTATACTTAAAACTAACAAGCCGAAGGTTAGAAACTTATAGCAAAAACGATTTAACGGGATTTTCAGAAGAAAAAAGGAACAAAGCCAGAGAACGTGAGAGAAAATGATCATCAAAGTCGCGCCCCGTACATTTTCAATGGCAGGCTGCTCACGCTTCTTGCCGCCTAGGCTGTTTGTGCGCATGCGTGCATAATTATGACTCATTAGTGAGAAGGTCTATAATTACCCCTTATCCTCCAAAGAAAAAATACGCGCTGGTCATTAGCAAGAAGGACGAATTGGGGCGGTCCGGGTTCGGCTGCGCTGCAGGCACGGCACGGCGTTTCGTGACTGATTTTATTCTTTAATTGTTGCCGTATAAACCGCCTGCAGTTCATTATAAACCGCAGAGACATTTTCGGCGAGAGAATCAATATATAAACTGAGGCTTATATTCCGAAAAATACGGTATATTAAAATTATATATTTATTGAAAAGCAAAACAAAACAACGAGCGGAACTCGGCAGCGAGCGGGGGTTTCGGTCGAACCCCCGAACCCTACTTACGGGCCTGCAGTGTCGATCTCATAAAAGCGAACTTTGGAAACGTAATACAATATTTTTCAAAATACCTCACGGCTCTAGCAGACTTTCACAGATAGGAGCAACGACATCATTCGTGTTAGAAATAAATTGCTTCTCAAGACTTTCCAACAGTGGGTTATTTAACAACCAGATTTCCAACATGATCTAAACATTACAAATTTTCGTTCGGCAATGAAAAACTGCTCTGCAATATAAAATATAAGGGGCGTTCAACTTTTAGGGAGTGGCGATCGATGGGGTTTGTGGGGGTGGGATGGACGGGGATTAAGGTGTGTTGAAAAGCCAAGAAATTCATTCATCAGTACAATTCAATGTATTTTACGCGGATGAAACGCTAAGCGTCCGAGTGTATTCATGTTGTGCGCCCTTTGTCACTCTTGCTACATGTGAAACTCAGTTGACGTGGTTTACCTATTTCTCATCTGGGCATTTTTAGTACAAAACTTGGTAAATTGGAAATTTAATTTCGCTGAACTACAAGTGTCAAAATCAGTTTGCTCTCTAATACACTTGGGTTTCTGTAACAACAGCCTTAGCAGCTGATCGACTGAAACCATTTTACAAAGTACATGTAGTTTGATAACATCATCCACAGTACTGCTCTCGATTTTTTTTTCGTTCACAATATGAACACAAATTATTCACATATTTTCAGACACATTCAACAGACGTATAAACAGCTTTAGCTCTCACCATGTTCAGACACTCAGGTATCTATAGGCGATATTGAGGCATTCATTATGGTAGGCCTATCTGATATAACTTTCAGTTATACTGGGACTATATTTGGAATTGTAACCAAAGGTAGAATTATAATATCTATATAATGTATTTAAAACACAACCACTTTTCTTTTAATCTGGTGGGATGTTTTAAAACATTACAATTAAGCTGCATAGCACTACACAGTTGAGCTGACATTATTTTATCAAGTAATTCTAAAGTGACTGATGTTGCTTGCTTTAAAAAGCAAAATAAAAATATCAGTATGTAATATCTAAATAAAAGGATTTTTATTTCATCCTAAGTTTCCCCATTGTTCCATTTGACAGTGGTCTCAGTGACCAACCAAGTCTGACATCTCATGTAACAACTGGAATTTGCATTTAGTTTATCTTGGGCACAGGATTCAGTTGGGCAGTAGATTTAGAAGGCCAGTTCGGCCCATTGTTGCTGAAAACATGCAGACTTTAGAAAACTACAGGTTTTGGTGTGTCAAATCTCTTCTCCACGGAGCTGCAACTTTAACAAGATTTCCCTTTTTTCTCACGCCAAATTCAATGTGTTGTTAGATTCAATATGCCAGCATTTAAAAAAACTTACAAATTGTCACATTTCAAGCAAAAGGGGATCAAGGCATCTTTTCAAACAACACTCACATTCTAACAGCTTAATCAATATTCCCTTACGCCTAGCACTACAGCCTTCAAGTAAATTCACATGGGTCATGATACTGTCTTGTCAGGGTGATTTAGGCCTCGGCTATATGTCCTGCTACTGCCGTGCCAAAGTAATTGAAATGAGTGTGGCGACAGTGCGGCGCAGCAGCTGTGCTAAATGTCCCATAGAACGGAACATTTCTTATGTCACCACATGAAATCATACTTACAATTGTACTCATAAAACAGTCATTATTTGCATAATGGCCCATTTCCTTTGAAACAAGACCAGCATTTACCATGCCAATTTGAAAGGTGGCATCTTCAAACATAATAGCTTCACCATTTTTAATGGTCAAGAATGCAGACTTGACAACAAACCCAAAATACTTCACTAAAAACTAGAAAATACCGCAAGAAATGCCACAGAGTTAGGTCACACACATCATTTATCATCAACTATATATTAACAAACCCTTTTGGCTTAAAGCACCCGTTACAGGTAATGGGACATTTAGCAATCTGTTTTGCATCCATTGCTGCATGGGTTAAACGTTTGATAATGCATTTACAAAAGGCACTCAAAGATTGCTCAGATAAAAGCTCTTTGCTTCACAACATTATTTGTAATAATTACTTCTATTTGAACGTTTCTTTCCAATGAGTGATTATCACACAAAAGAAATGAAGTTTACTTAGAGTTAAGGTTTGATTTAAGTTCTTGACGCTGATGCATTTGAATACAACTAATAAATTGTTTTCTGTAGTTTTTCCGGTATCTGATAGCTTCAGTTTTGCTCAGTTTTATGTGTGAAGTGAAAAATATTTGGTACTTTGCAGTGTTGCAATCATCACTGTCATTATGTTGAAACTGTGAATGTCACAATGTTGCAATCATGGATGTCACAATAGCTACACTGAGAATGTCACATTGTCGAAAATTGGTCATTTTGTCATGTAACCAATGTCTAATTAGTGAGTGTCAAATTGCTGTAATCAACACTTTCACAGTCTCTGAAATGTCACAATCAACATTACCACAGTCTTGAAATGGTGGCTGTAGTGTTGAAATAACGAGACAACAATCTTGTGCAATTCCTGGGGCTGTTTGGAAGACAGAGGAAGCAGGCTGAACATTTTCTGTGAATTTATGACAAGTTTTGCATTGTTTTCCCCTTTTTTTAATAAAAAAAGGAATGACAAACCCAAGGTGTATGAGCAAGTCTCGCTTTTTTTAATGACCTTTCCCTTTTGGAAGGGAGGAAGGTAGAACCATTACTAAGTTGTTGGGAAGATGTCATTGAGACAATATCAATAATGAGGAAATTTAAGAATTTTCAATTCAGAATTTTTTCTTAATCAAAGGTTACTCATGACCATTACTCTAGCCCCTTCAATATCTGTGTACACGCAAATAAACATTCAATCCTGGGCAGAATCTGGTCATTGCTCTGTGCGTATAAACGTAATGGCACCTTTCAAAGCACAACCATACACAGTAGGTTGATAACAAATTAAACAAGACAGTGTTGTACTCTAGCCCATCAAATCTCCTTTAAAAGGTCCAGTCACAAATGCGGTCACAAGAAACAGGATGAATGGAGTTATTTTATCAAAGTTCATTTTTGAATAGCCTGTGACTTGGCTTAAGACTGAATGACTTGTGAAGGACTTAACTAAATCACTGTCACAAGACGGCCGTGCCATTTCATTTGATTATCCCTCTTCGACTACGTCTTTGAGGGACCAGCACCCATCGCCTAGCACGACCAGCTGGGCGTCGTGGAAATGCTTCAGGCTCTCCCGGTGGCCGACGCTGATCAGCGTGATTCCCAGGGACTTGCAGTGGGTGTAGAACCTGGTCTGCTGCTGAAGGGTGAGGGCGCTGGTGGCTTCATCCAAGACTAGAATGCCAAAGCAAATACATGTCATGCAAATGGGGGGGGGGGTTGTTTGCATTTCACATCTGAGAAATTTTTAATTTTGATTCATAAATATTGATAGATCAAGAATATCTTTTCCCAAGATCACAGGCTGATTGACACCCTCGCGTCTTCTTTCTTTTGTCCGTCTCTCTTTGTAAGTGTCTTGTATCCTCTGCTAATTTGCTGCTATGTGAATACACTTGTTATTATTTAATACAGAGACAGACTTCAGTCAAAGCATCCAACAAACAATTGATTGATTGGTTATTAAATTGACAAAAAATAAAAATCTGAGAATTTTAGACTAAAAAAAGCGACAACGGGACACGTACATAATAGATTTGTAAAACCAAGCAGTGTGGGAGTTAGCTCGTAAGAAGGGGTCGCGCTTGCCTCAGGATAAGGGAGCAGAATGAGGAATACTCACAGGCAAAAGAGGGCTTGGTGTAGAACAGCCTGGCAAAGGACAGGCACTGCATCTCGCCCGGAGTCAGGACGTCGCTCCAGTCCCAGTCAACATCCTTATCCAGGCTGCCTGGAAGTCAAAAAGGCAGGAGACACTGATCAAAGGTAGCAGACAAAACTACCTAGTGAAACACCCCAACGGGAACAAAAAAAAGCTGAGATATAAATGCTCAGAGTGTGCCTGATGTAGACAGATGAGATGAGAATGGAAACTCTGTAACTAAAGGATTTGAAAGCCGTTTGGATCAGGATTGGCTGATCACAATTTAAATCAAATGGGGTTTTTTCAATCATTGATTTAAATCAACATATTTAATTTGGGGAAAAAGAGGCAGAAATGTTTCAAAGTTTAAATTCATTTTTGCAGATTGGAAATGTTTGCAGGTTTTGTAGAACAAATCACCACTCCGTGAGCCTTCCAGTTCCTACTAGTATTAAACACTTCCTGCCGGGGACTCCGGAATCAGAGACATATGCTTTATATGCCAGGCCGGGGTCTCCGAACTCGGACAAAGGAAACAGGGCCCTGTAACAAAAGACCGTACTCCGAACAAAAGACCAGGCTGCTGGGCATTGGCAACAATTTTCACTCTCAAAAGTGGTGATAATCCAGCCTTGTTTTGAAACCGTATTTCAGGGTTTGGGGCATTTATAGTGAGCGGATTACCACCGGGGAAAAAAGCGCTCCACCATCGCAGCGATGAGCCACAACAGCACCACTGCACGCAAATCTGGCCCCTATTGAAAAGAGGTCAGCAGCGCACTATGCCAGGTTCGAGAACTAAAGACAATTACATAACACCGCACAATCTGGGCTCTTTTTACAAGGCTGCAGGCCTGGATGAAATACTCGGGCATCAATGACGGTCACCTATCAACTTAGAGTAGTGCCTAAAGATTACTTCGTGCAGCTATAAACATCCGTTAAATGAAATGAAGAATTTTTGAAGAATTTTGAAAACGGAAAAAATGATAATTATGCCGGCCCAGCATCATCAACATTGAAAAATGCCCCGGCATGAAGTGGTTAATGAAGTATGAATGGATACACACAGTCTGGGCTGGCAGGATTTTATTGTTCAATTCAATCCACTTGTTTGATTTGAATAAGCTTTTTGGATCCAGTGAATGAATTTGATGCGAAGGATTTATCATCATGAATTAATTTTACTTCATTTGAATTGCCCATTTCAGAGTTTGACATGGTAAAGTATGAATGTACAGTGTACATCTACCATATAAGATAAACATGCAATTTACTGGGATTAGAAACGTTAGTCATTATGCAGTATAACTAAAACCACTAAATTCCCTTAAAGTGATTTTTAATCAAGCCTAAGTCATTGTTCTGCGGAGCTGGATCACAAACGAATTGAGACTGCTTTTTGCACACAGGCGAAGGTAAAATACCAGCATTTTGTACCTACATATACATAGCATGTAAAATAAATCCATGAACATGTTATTCACGGCATGTTTCTCACTAATTAGTCATTGGATAAGTGTGTATGTGTATGCATGAATAAGTGCCTGTTAACAAATTCTTGTGAACTCTAGTTTTGTCAAAACGTAGAGTTCGTTTTAAATTCTGGTATGCACTTTATCTTTGCTGCATGTACAGAGTACTTATCTCTGCAGGTACATGTACCAATAGGTGTTATACTGCATGCATACCACCAAGGCTACAACATGGTGGTTTGTGAATTTAATCCAATTACTAGATTTAAATTTCTTAATTCAAATCCAAATTTGTTTAATTTTGCCACAAAACAAGTGAATAAAACTATTACACGTAGAACTAATTTGCTTGCTTTAGAATGGACCTTCGAGCTAACTTGTCTCACATTTTTATAAAAATTTAAAAAATCTGATTTAAATCAAAATTGTTTGATTTTTAATTATTTTTTTTGTAAATAAAAAATAAATGACCCTGGTTTGGATCTTTATGTGAAGATAAGGAGCAACTTGTGACAACTGGAACCAGCTACTATGAGTAGAATAACTCGGACTCATTCTTCAATAACCAGGGGCGTGCATGGCCACTTAAAGTTAAAGCTAAAAACAGCTAGCAAAAAGCTTACTTTTGTACAGACCAGGTGTAAAAAAAGCTGAAATTCAGGGTCAACATCCCCCCCCAAAAAAAGAAATCCGTATCTGTACCAATTTCCCAGGATCAGTTTGTTGGCAGATAAATGGCAACAACTCACCTATCCTCTCATAGAGATGCAGTAATCCCACACGATCCAGTATCTCCATAATTTTCCTATCGACGTCAAAAGGATTCTCCAAAGTTGAGATCCTCTGGGGATAGATTACCTACAAAACACAAAGATTTATGACTGATTGGAAACTTCTGCTGTTACGTAATTTGATGGTTTTTGCAGGACACGAGCAGGGTTTCTTTCTCACATTCAGAAATGCACTTAACTGTTTTATATGAGATGGAATTGATTTATTCAGCCAATTATTAAATTTAAAAAATCATAGGATGTTTGCAATGTTGGACTCACATGAAATTATTCAATTCAAAAAAACACATACAATTACACTTAGAAAAACTACATACACATGAATTAAAAACACCTGTTTCATAAACTCACAGAGCCAATGGTATATAAACTGCGTGTACTTCTTAAACAATATATATTTATCCATTCATATTTTATACATTAAAAGTTCCAATTGTTGAAAGACCACATGGCTGATGGCATAAAATTCTCTCCCAAGTGGTTGGTTTTTGCACCACTTAATCTATGTATGATGTTCATATTTAAGCAGTAATTTTGCTTTCGACCTTCTCTAGTCCGAATCTGGATTGAGGAACGTCTAAGAACTGGGCTGTGCCGTGACTAATCTTGTTGAAACTACGTACATATGTACAGACGTCCACTACGATACGGCATTTTCTTTCATGGTTGTATACATCAATAGTTCAAGGGGCAAGGGAGGAACATGAGGAATCTTGCATCTAATTGATATTTTACATACTTTTAGACTTGAATTCCAGACTCAGACTTTGCCCGCCTTTTGAGAATGTGATACCTCAAAATGACACTCTTCATGCATGGTACCGACTTACACCAAAGTGTGCACACACGTACTTGTTCTGTAGTTGTGGGGACTAGACACATATTCATGTGTGCACATGCTGTTGGGACCAATAAAAAAAATTCAATCTACACTTTTTTCAGCAGAGAGAAGTCTACTCCCAAAGGATTTCTGGGTTGAGCCAAACTCTATCTTTATCACTAGTGTGGGGGAACACTTGCGTGCAGAGGTTGTAAGTGGTAAAACATGGTGTTTTGAAGTGGATCCATTCGGTGAAACAAAACAAATTCCCTATTTTGCTTTACCTGTTCTTTGAGTGTTCCGTCTGTTTGGAATGGCTTCTGGGGAACAAACATGACGTCGTCGGGCGTCAGGCCCTTATCCACTGCCACGGTGCCGGCAAACGTCCGGAAGAGGCCGCGCAGGACTCGCAGGATGGACGTCTTGCCGCTGCCAGTCGGTCCCGAGATCAGGAGGTTGTAGCCCACTCGGATCTCAAGAGAGAGGTCTGCGGGTGGGAGCGCGGAGATTCAGACCATGAGAAGTGTCTCAAGCAGAACTAGTAACTTTTGTAGCTGAAATTTGAGTTTTCACAGGTTATCAGTCTTTGAAATTTCACAAAGTGCTTTGGCATTTTGAAAAATGTAGATGATCAACCTCTTGCTGCCGGGGTTTCTGGTACCGGACATGTACTCTTTATATGCATGGCCGGGGTCTCCAAAATCCGACATAGGGAACTGGGCCTTGTAACAAAAGACCATACTCGTAACAAAAGACCAGGCTACTGGGCATTACCAACATTTTTTCAATCTCAATAGTGGTGATAATCCAGCCTTGCTTTGAAACAGTATACCAAGGTTTGGGGCATTCAGTGCAAGCGGATTACCACCGGAGACAAAAGCCCTCCACCACCGCAGCGATGAGCCACACAGCACCGCTGCACGCTAATCTGGCCCCTATTGAAAAGAGGTCAGCAGCGCACTATGCAAGGTTCGAGAACTAAAGACAATTACATAACACCGCACAATCTGGGTTCTTTTTACAAGGCTGCAGGCCTGGATGAAATACTCAGGTATTTTGTCTGTCAGATTAGAGTAGCCACCAGACAGTCATTCATGTGGGTGTAAATGTCCATTAATTGAAATGATGAATTTTTGAAGAATTTTGAAAACTGAAAATCTTGAAAATGTCCCGTATGTGTGCACTGGCTTTTTCAAACCACTTTTTCAAAGCAACAAGTGGTTAAAGGGCAACTCCAGACGAAATTGGATGCAAAGTCACACTGCTATCAACCTCATTATTAATCTTAATTCAAAAACTAAGAGAAGCTGAAGAGAAGTGGACTTAAAGGTAACTATACTACTTGTGTTTTTCTGAATACTGATAACCTTCCCTGTTCAAAAAGTACCCATGATAATGAGGTAACAGAGAGAACAAATTTCCACTTTTACACAGAAATGTCCTAAAGGAAAGATTTTAATGGTGACACAAAATTTTTACTTTTATTTTAACTCATTATGCTCCTGTGTCAACGCGTTTAAGATTAGCTAATTTCTAGCATGGTTTGATATTTATGCATTGTATTGTTTAAGTCTTTGGCCCAGTCAGAACTACATCTAGAGCTGAGACTAGGCCTTCTCCTGTGGCAAATACACAAGACACATGCCGATTGCAGCGGTAGTCATGGCTCCAGAAGTCATTTTCAGACTTTTCTCTGACAGATAGGACTAACCGTTATGACCGCACAACGAGGAGATGAGGGCCCAATTTCAAGGTGCTGCTTACCGCAAGCAAAAAATCAGCGCTTACTGTAGCAGCAAATTCTGTGCTTACGGCGAACGTATTTCACGGGTTAGCGAGGAATTTTGGCTCGTGCGCATGCATATATCCCGTAACTGAGGATAATGTGCTTAAAGGGTTAGCACGGAATTTTTCTGCTTACACAGTTGGCGCAGAATGGAGATCGTAAGCGCGGAATTCAGCGGTAAGCAGCACCATGAAATTGGGCCTAGGTTTGAAGTGAGAACGGATCCCCAACCAGAGAGCCCCAGCATCCGACCTCCTCACCTTTGATGAGGACTTCTTTGCCATCGGGCGTGGCCACCGACACCTGGTCCAGCTTGTAGGCCACACGGTCACCCGGGGTCGACACCTCACTCCCGCTCTCATCCCCCGAGTCTTGCAGCTCGTGCCAAGTCCTTTCCTTGGTGTCGCCAAGCAAGCCTTGGCGGTCTGGCACCTGGACTGACCTGTACTTGATCCTAGTGATCAAGCCCCCGGCTCCTGACCTATCTCTGTCTTGATGTTGCTGGGTGTCACCGTCTGACAGCATTTTTAGTGATTCTATTAATTCACCAATTCTGAAATCAAGTTTAACATTTTTTTCAACTGCAAGTGAAAAAATAACCATGCTCAAAACTTTGATGCATGAATGCACAATACATTTTCAGATTCATTTTAAATTTTTGGCTTAAATGTTCTCTCCTTTACGTCTTGAAATCAAGCTCTTCCTGCTGACTATTTCCCAAACAATTCTGACTCAGCAAACAAATATCCAAAGAAACAGTCACATACAAGGAATATATAAACACCTTTCATATTGTGAAAATGGTGCATTTCGATAAACATGGTCATTCCTTCTTTTTAGTGACCTGATTTCAAAGAGCAGGTTTAGGAGAAACTCTTTCTCAGCAAAGTCAGTTGCTGAGCAAAAACAAGCAAAGCACCAATCACTAGCAATATATAAAGTGACTTTTCGGTTGGTAACCTGTTTTGTGTTAAGCAAAGATTTTCAGTGCTCAGCAAAACTTGTTACCTCTAAGACACAGTCCATACCTACTAAAACCGAACACTTGGAAAACAGAACACAAATGCTGTGTCATGTCACTCATTAATGATATTTGTTTACAACACCGATTCACTCCTGATCATTGATACATAATTAGTAATAAACACAGTCAGGAACCAGACAGCAAAACCGACATAGATCCCAAAGGGTTTTTTAGGGACTGGACAAGCAGCTGCACCAGAGTGATGGTGCCATTGGAATATACACAGCAGCCACTGGGTGAGTGCATCGAGGCATGCATCACTGAGTCATTGTCCCTGTGCTGCAATGATTTCACACTCTATCCCACAGAGTACATGTACTGCAGTTCGTTAATGCTTCCCCGTTCTTC